GGTGCGGTAGCAGCGGCACGCCTCCACCGACACCTCCTCGACGCCTCGCCACCGCACGCCCGCGCGCCGCTCGTGCGCCCGCGCGCCGCCGCCGCACGCCGCGCCGCCCTCGCCCATCCCGCCAACGACGCCCGTGCCACCCCCTCCGCCGCCGTGCTCGGGCTCACCGCCCGCCTCGGCGCCGTCGCTGTCAGGCCGCGCGCCGAGCGCCGCATCGGCGATGGCGGCGGCGAGGGTGCTTGCGGCGGCGGCGGTGCCGAGCGCCTCCATGCGTCAATGAATTCACTGTGAGGCGCCGGTCAACGCCTTGATTAGGCGGCGCCGCGCGCCTCCATGTCGTGCGCGCTGTAGGGCGGCGGCGCGTCGGCGGAGGCGTCGAGCAGCGCGTCCTCGAACGCCACCTGCGAGTGGATGGGCGGACTAAGGAGCAGGGAGGGAGGGAGGGAGGGGCGCGTCCTCGAACGCCACCTCCGCCGGTGCGTCGGAGGAGAGCGTGACGTACAGCGCCTAATTCGACAGTGAATTCGTGATCTGCCCACATCTCCCCACATCTGCCCCACATCTGCCCCACATCTGCCCCACATCTCCCCCACATCTCCCCCACATCTCCCCGCATCTCCCCGCATCTCCCCACATCTGCCCCACATCTGCCCCACATCTGCCCCACATCTGCCCCACATCTGCCCCACATCTCCCCCACATCTGCCCCACATCTGCCCCACATCTCCCCCACATCTCCCCCACATCTGCCCCACATCTGCCCCACATCTGCCCCACATCTCCCCCACACCTCCCCCACATCTCCCCACATCTCCCCCACATCTCCCCCACATCTCGCCTCATCAGAGATGTTGCGCAGCGTCAGCCGTGCGCGGCGGGGGACGGCCGCGTAGCAGTCTCCAAGGTCGAGGGACGGCGGCGCGTGCAGCTTCGCGTGCAAGGGCTGCGACGAGGCGCGGCAGGCCAACCTGAGGCGCACGCTGCTGTCGGCGTCGCCCTCGTTAGTCAGCAGCAGCTCGGCGCGGTGTTCGCCCTCGGCGTGCGGTGTGAGGTGCGCCTTTAGACATTAATTTAATGATTAATTAGTGTTAATTAATAATTAACTCGTCCTCGGCGTGCGGCGTGAGGTGCGCCCGCAGCCGTGCGTGCGAGAAGCCGCTGATCTCCTCGACGCCGCCCGCGCGCAGAGGCGCGCCTGGCAGATGAGTCTGCGTCTGAATTTGCTCAGGAGACGGCCACTGCGAGCGAGTGTGTGCAGAGGAGGTCGACGAGAGGAGAGACGAGAGAAGAGACGAGAGAAGAGACCAAGAGACTGAGGGGGCCCGCGCTGCTGCTGTCTGTCTGCAGGGGCGCGCCGAATTCACCAACTCATGAGCCGTCTCCCCCCATCTCCCCCCATTCTCCCCCCATCTGCCCCACATCTGCCCCACATCTGCCCCACATCTCCCCCACATCTCCCCCCTACCTCCCCACATCTGCCCCACATCTGCCCCACATCTCCCCACATCTGCCCCACATCTCCCCACATCTGCCCCACATCTGCCCCACATCTCTCCCCTACCTCCCCACATCTCCCCACATCTCCCCCCGCCTCCCCACATCTGCCCCACATCTCTCCCCTACCTCCCCACATCTCCCCACATCTCCCCGTACGCAGAGGCGCGCCGGAGTCGAGGTTGGTGAAGGCGAGGGAGATGGCGCGCCCGGCGCGAAGCAGCGGGACGAGGCGGAAGGAGAGGGGCGCCTGATGCATTCCGCAACTAATTGCTACTTCTCCACTGCCAATTGGCAGGACGAGGCCGGAGCGAGCGGCGTCGCCTCGGAGCCGTTCCGCACAGTGAAGTCCTTGTGCGACGCCGCGCCGAGCACGCAGTTGGAGAAGTGCAGCTCCCTCTCCTCGCACCTAGGGCCCGGGTCGGGGCTGGGGTGAGGCGCAGCACGCAGTTGGAGAAGGGCACCTCCCTCTCCTCGCACCGCAGCAGAGAGCGGCACGCTCGCACGCTCAGCGGCAGCCGCGCCTCGAACTGCGCTGCGGAGGAGGGCGCGGCGGAGCGAGAGGCGGCGGCGGCGTGGACAGGGTGCGCCGCGAGGAGCACGGCGCCGCTCAGCTCTCGGATAGACCCTGTGCCCCGCGCCTCTGCCTCCGCCCTCTCCCTCCCGGACTGGCCGGCGCCGCCCTCCTCGGCGCCAACCTCCGCCGCCGCCTGCCGCCGCTGGTCGTCCTCGGCCGCCGTGAGCGCGACTGCCGGGCGGAAGACCAGCACGACCGCCACTACGCCACGCGGCGGCAGCGTGACGGAGCTGATCAGGTTCATCTCGTGCAAGAGCGCCGGGCTGTCGCCGCCGCCGCCGCCTCCCGGAAGGGGTCCGCCGCCCTCGCCAGCGCCGAGCGGCGGGTGGGCGAGGGCCGGGTCGTGGGCCTGGAACCGGACGGCGTCGCCAAACGTCGAACCGAGGGTGACGCGAAGCGGCACGGCGGAGGAGGACGCGATGGAGAAGGGAAGCAGCGCCGGCGCCGACGTGAGCACGGCGTGGCAAGACAGACGAGACGGAGACACTGTGAACGCATCCGCCTCGCTCGTCATGATTTTGCGGCCACTAGGAGGAAGCGTCAGCCAGCCGGCCGTAGGCGAGCGGGAGCGAGCGAGCGGATTCAAGGCAAATCGGTCCTGCTAACCATGCACATTGCAGTTTTCGCCTTTTTTTCTTTTTTTGAGGCCCTTCAACGACGCGAGAGGCCTGCCAAAAGTCGGCCGCCTTCGCCTGATCCTGGACGGCCTCGGCTGTGCTTCAGCTGCCTCCAGCAAAATGAAATCCAGCTTTTTACAGCGCGTCGTTTGGTCACCGAGGAGAGGGAACGAAAGCACACCTCAAACTGCAGGACGTGCATCCTGTGGACGCATCCCTCCTTGTCCCACTTATCGAATTTGTGCAGGCGAGAGTACTCGTCCGAATTCCGGCGTTTTTCATAATTCTCACCCTACTATACTACAAGTACCCCATACCGCGTTGGTGTGAACAGCGTGGGTGCCAGCGGTGCGGCGAGCTTCGAGTTGGTGCCGGGGCGCGAGCAGTTCGGCCCGGGAAAAAAGGAAAGGAAAACAGACGGGGTGCGAGAGGCAAACCTGCTACAGCCCAAGTCGCAGCCATCGGCCGGAGAGAGAGAGAGAGAGATCTCTCTCTCTCTCTCTCTCTCTCTCTCTCTCTCTCTCTCTCTCTCTCTCTCCATCGGCCGGAGAGGATGGCTGAGCTAACAATATCCTGACCAGGCGTTCCAACGCAGAGATTTTTAGCAATACCAAACAACACATGGCTAAGAGATAACGACGCCAGCCATCCAGAACAAGGGTGTGGTGGCTCGCGGAGCGAGAGTGGAGCCACCTGCGCTCGTTCGTGTCGGGGGCGGCGAGAAGGCTGGGTCGATCGAAAAAGGAAAGGAAAACAGACGGGGTGCGAGAGGCAAACCTGCTACAGCCCAAGTCGCAGCCATCGGCCGGAGGATGGCTGAGCTTACAATATCCTGACCAAAAGCGTTCCAACGCATGGCTAAGAGATAACGACGCCAGCCATCCAGAACAAGGGTGTGGTGGCTCGCGGAGCGAGAGTGGAGCCACCTGCGCTCGTTCGTGTCGGGGGCGGCGAGAAGGCTGGGTCGATCGAAAAAGGAAAGGAAAACAGACGGGGTGCGAGAGGCAAACCTGCTACAGCCCAAGTCGCAGCCATCGGCCGGAGGATGGCTGAGCTTACAATATCCTGACCAAAAGCGTTCCAACGCATGGCTAAGAGATAACGACGCCAGCCATCCAGAACAAGGGTGTGGTGGCTCGCGGAGCGAGAGTGGAGCCACCTGCGCTCGTTCGTGTCGGGGGCGGCGAGAAGGCTGGGTCGATCGAATTCGCGACAGCCATCCTCCGGCCATCCGGCCAAATGGCTGCGACGGCTGTATGGCAGCCATCTTGCGGCCGGGCGGATGGCTGGGACACAGCCATCAGCCATCGGCCGGAGGATGGCTGCGCTGGCTGGAACGCAGCCAAAATGGCGCGTGATTGCTGGGAGGCGGAGAGTGGCCAAGGATGCTTTAATTGCAACCATGTGTGTGAATTACCATCCGGTAGGAGGGTTAGGGTTAGATCTAGTTGTACCAGCCTTCTTAGCACATGGATGGCAAAGAAAAAACGCCTCCTGGACTGGCACTGCTGCTATGCGCGCGATCCGCCGAGAAAAAGAAAAAGCTCGCAAATAGTCCTCGAAAATCCTTAAAATATGTTTTTTCTTTCCTACATGTGCATGCACATGTGCATGCACATGACATGTGCATGTAGGAAAAGAATTCTTAAAATACAACCCTCTCTAGGAAAAGAATTAGCCCTTGTATTGTATTGTAGTAAGGTGAAGAACAGTCAGGCTCGGACTGGACACCAACGCGGTATGGGTGGACGCAAGACAGATGATGACGACACGCACGAGCGACACACAGACACAAACAAGCTCACAAGACACACAGCCAGCGGGCTGCCACACATCCTGAGTGGGCGTACACATCACTCAGGCCACGTCCCCCCTGTCGCCCCCCCCAGCACTCCAAGGTGCCAAGAGACAAACAACAGCCCTTTTAAAATAAATAAAAGAATTCGGTCCTGGACATGGCGCTGCTGCCATTCGCTCCACAGCCTTTCGCCTTGGCCTCGACCGCGCTCGCACCGCGCGCCGCACCTGCATCCTCCCGCGTCGGTGCAAAGCACGCGTGCTCCAGCGGATGCGCGGCGACGCGAGCTCGGCTTGCACGATCGCCCGCCATGATGCTGGCAAACTCACTCGCTCTTGCGCTGCTGGCGGTTTCCTCTTCCTCGCCGCGCCTCGTCCCGCTCACGCTCCTCCTGCTCGCGGGTCGCTGCGAGGCCGCGGGCACGATCTGCGACAACAGTGTGCCATGTGAGTACGGGGGCTGCCCTACAAACGTCTACGGCACGTCTCTGTGCGACGGCAACTACACGGGCACCTGGGTGGATCTTAACAACCGAGGGCTGTCGGGGACAATCCCTCCGCAGCTGGGCGACATCTCGCAGCTGGTGTATCTTTACCTGAACGGCAACTCCATCTCGGGCACCATCCCTTCGGATACAGGCAAGCTCTCGCAGCTGCAGGAGCTTGGTCTGTACAACAATGACATCTCCGGAACCGTGCCGTCGCAGCTCAACGACCTGCCGCTGACGAAGTGCCGGCTGGGCGGCATTAACCACTTTGCCTGCCCCCTGCCCGCCCTTCCCGATGTCTGCACCTTAGACGCAGGCTCGTTATTCCCTCCGGAGTGCAACTACCCGCCGCCCTCGCCGCCCTCGCCGCCGCCCTCGCCGCCCTCGCCGCCCTCGCCGCCCTCGCCGCCCTCGCCACCCTCGCCGCCCTCGCCGCCCTCGCCGCCCTCGCCGCCGCCCTCGCCGCCGCGCTCGCCGCCCCCGCCGCCCTCGCCGCCCTCTCTGCCGCCGCCCTCGCCACCGCCGCCCTCGCCGCCGCCCTCACCGCCCTCGCCGCCGCCTACGCGCGACTTCTGCGGCTACGCGCCTGCAATCTGCGATGGCACATACACCGACACCACTCTGGACCTCTCGAACCAAGACCTCACAGGCTCGATCCCAAAGCAGCTCGGGAGCTTCGCGTTGACTGAGATCGAGCTGGAGGGCAACGCCTTCGAGTATCCAACGGACGCGGCTAGCTTGGACGAGCTCAAGACCGCCTTGCAGCGGTGCAGCAGCAGGCAGGCCTCCTGCTCCGGCGTGCCGCCAACGTCGTGCACAGCCTTCGCAGGCCTTTGGGCGGTGAACAGGAAACGGCCCTCAGAGTGCGTCAGCTGCGAGTCGCTGACTACCGCCATTGCCGGCATCGCCGCCCTGGCATTGGTGGCGCTAGCTGCGCTCGGGTGGTTTGCAGCGCGCATTCTCCGCCACCCGACAGCGATGAAGCGGTGGGTGTCGACGGTCGCCATCTTCGTCAATCACGTGCAGATGATTTCCCTCATCGGGTCGCTCAACCTAGAGTGGCCGAGGTCGATCAAGATCATCATCGAGATATTGCGACTGCACATCATCGCTCTCCCGAGTGCAAGCTGTTTCACCTCAGCCGATGTCGTGCTAACGATGTATTCAGCCGTTATGATCGCAATCACTTTGCTCATGCTGGCCCCGCTGGTTGCCAAAGAGGCTCGCGAGCTGCTCCTTGCTCTCGCTACGTTTTGGTACGCTACGTTTGGTCGCTTCTTTTGCTTGCTCTCTGTTGCTTTTTTGCTCTGCTGCAGCAGCCGAGAGGACGAACGACTAATGATGGATCGCGTTGACCATCGATTCAATAGGCTCTTGACGAGCCTATCAGCCCACCGGCTCGGCCTGCGCCGAAGCGGATTCCGCGACAGCGCGGAGCTCGCGCACAGCATCGCCTTTACCGTCCTGCTCACCTCAAGCTGGAGTGTCATCATGGACGTCCTCTCTTTCTACATCCCCGACCCGCTCAACCGGCGGTGGCACCCCGAGACGCTGGACTCGCATCGGGCGGTGCTTGCGTCGCTCATAGTCCTCATCTGCGTCGAGCCCTTGCTTGCATACCGGCTCGTTCAGAACGTGATTAGCTTCCGGCGAGGTCTCGACAGAGGCGAATGGCGCTCGCCTCCCGTCATCTCGTGCTCATGTGCGGCCCACGAGCTAATCTTCCCTCGCCGCCTTGAGCGGCAGGTCGCTTTCCTCACGAGCCGCTTCGCCGGCCATGCCAGCAGCTGGCAGCTCACGATCTGGAGGCGTCAGCTGGTCATCTTCTCCCTCGCGGTTGCCAGCCGGGTGTCGCGGGACCATGTCGAGTCTGCTACGCTCGAGGCCGCCTTGCCGTATTGCTTCGCGTCCGCCGCCATCGCCGCCATCCTCTTCTTCTGGCGCGAGCACGAGCGGGCGCAGCCGTTTGTCTACCTGTTTCAGAACGCGCTCGAGTCCTACCTGTTTCGCTCCAACGTGCTGCTGCTCGTGCTCGCCTGCGTCTACACCGCGCTTCCCGGCGACCGGATCGCCCACATCGTTCTCGAAATCCTCCTCGCCGTCGTTCTGCTCGGAGGCCTCGTCGCCGGCGCCGTGTACGCCGTCCGGCAGCTGCGGCGCACCAAGGAAGTGCTCGCCGGCATCGACTTCACCGCCGCGCTGGCCTCCGCGGATAGCACTATCGACGCCAAGCTGAAGGAGCGCCTTGGGGATGGCTCGATCCGGCTGGTCAGCTGCAACTGGCTGCAGTCGCCGGAGGCGGACGCGAGCCTCGCACGCGACGACAGCGGAGCGGTCATCATGCGCCGTCGACAGGAGCTTCCCGAAGCGGCCTTTGTGCCGCGCGACGAGGCGGTGGCGATGCTCGAGCGAGGCGACCGGTCTATCCTAGTCCTCTCTTACGGCTGGCTGACTGCGCTGCACCCGGATCCGCACGGCACCACGCTCGCCTCTGTCCGCCGCTTTCTCGAGGCTGACGCGGCCACGCAGGCGGCGAAACGAGTGTCTCCCAGGAGCCTCGAGCAGAATCCGCAGGTGTGGGACGTGCCTGCCACGACCGAGAGAGCCGAGGCAAGCGATGTTGGGCTCTTTTGGGACTTTGCGAGCCTCCCTCAGAAGGGCCCAAGCGGGGAGGAGAAGAGCGAGGAGGAGAAGAGCATATTCGGGCGAGGACTCAAAGTGATGGGGAACTTCTACGCGAGCGTGACGGGCACGGCGGTGATCCAGCAGCGCAACATCGACCTCCCGCCAGGCGCGACCACCGGGTTCGGACCGGGGGAGTACAACCCAACGCCGTACGAGGGTGAGGGTGGCCGCGGCTGGTGCATCTTCGAGCAGGGCGTGGCGATGACGGTGCTGGCGCACTTGACAAAGGCGAGGCAGGAGGCTGAGGCGCGAGGCTGCGAGCTGCCGGAGCGCTTCCAGAGGGCGGAGGCGAGCCGCGCAAAGGTGTACGACATTAGCGGCGCGGCGGCACCAGTGGCACGTAAGTGTGAGAGGAGGCCGCTAGACGTGCTCGACGAGGCTTGCGCGGCGATCGCAAAGGCGCGCTTCACGGGCAGCGCGGACCAGGACACGGTGCCGCATATGCTGGCAGAGTTCGAGTGGACAGTGCGCAATGCCGCCTTTCAGGCGCTCGAGCAAAACCCGACCAGGACGGGAGTCACTGTCGATCTCCAGGGTCTTCTGCCTGCGAACGAGGAGGGCGGCACACTGCTGCAGCGCAGTCTCGATCGCGCGCGATCCCTCTCCAGAAAGCTGCCGGGGAAGCGTGTCCGCCGAGGCGCCGAGAGAGGCATAGCCTGGCTGGAGATGATTGATGTACGCTTGAGCACTGCCAGTGCCAGCCAAGGCCGCGCAAGCAGCGAGCATGACGAGACGGCCGTACCTGATCGGCGCCGGCCGCACGTGATGGATCGGACCTTGTACGTGTGAGTGCTGTGAGACCTACGGCTCTAGCGGTAGCGCGCACGCGCGAGCGACGAGAGTTCCGAGGGTTGGAACTCTTTGAAAAAGAAAGGAGAAGACGGATTTTGCAAAAAAAATTAAACAAAACAACTCTCTCTCTCACAGGACACAGGCTCGACACAGGTGCGAACTGGCGCGTGCTAGTACTATCACCGGCACACCTGCAAAAAGAATTAGAGGCCCTTTAAAAAAGAAAGAAAAATCAACGCAAACGGTCGCTTGATGGACGGACGTTCGCCGGCAGGCCGCGAGGTCACATCTGCCGGCGAGCTCGTCTGCCAAAGTGGCGCCAGAGTGGAGAGCTGGAGGCTGCATTAGCATATTCAACTGGCCAAACCGGCCATCAGACGCGTCTACCAAGTCTACCGGTAGACTGGGGTCGTAGGTTCATTACGGTCTACCGGTAGACTGCGGTAGACTCGTTTACCAAACGGTCTACCGTCTACCCCAGTCTACCCCAGTCTACCGGTAGACGGGCCACCCCTCAGCTCCTCCTCAGGGGCCCAGGAAAGCCTCCTCCTCGGCGACGCCGTCAACGCGCCAGTCCACGAACCAGCTCTTGCCCCGCGCCTTCTCCACCTGCGCGATCAAGTCTCCGAGCAGGTTCGCGCTGCCGAGCGCGTGCCACTGGTAGAACCTCTGCGCGATGCTCTTTTCCCCGCGCCGCACCGGGCAGGAGCCGTGCAGCGACCGCGGCCGCAGCGTGCGCCCCATCGGGTCGTGCGAAAAGAAGACGACGAGCCGCCCGACGCGCGGCTCGATCATCAGCGAGCCCGAGGAGCGGTTGCACAGCCCGCCCGCCGCCTCGCCCAGCTCGTCGAACCGCGGCACGGAGCTGCGCGCGAAGAGCTCCTCGACGCGCCTGCCGGAAGTGTCTAGGAAGTGTCTAGGAAGTGTCTAGGAAGTGTCTAGGAAGTGTCTCGCCCGTCGCGAGCTTCACCTGGTACGGCGCCACCCAGCCCTCCAGGAAGTGTCTAGGAGGTGTCTAGGAAGCGTCTAGGAGGTGTCTAGGAAGTGTCTAGAAGTGTCGAAGAGCTCCTCGACGCGCCTGCCGACGCCATGGACGCCCTCTGGCCGCTCGTAGCCGCTGCGCCGGCGCAGTCTCGCCTGGGTGGGTGGGTGGGTGGGTGGAAGACGAGCTCGCCGCCCTCCTAGGAAGTGTCTAGGAAGTGTCTAGGAGGTGTCTAGGAGGTGTCTAGGAAGTGTCTAGGAGGTGTCTCGGAAGTGTCTAGGAAGTGTCTAGGAGATGTCTAGGAAGTGTCTCGCCCACGGGAAGACGAGCTCGCCGCCCTCCTCGGGCGCGCGCAAGAAGAGCAGCGCCGTCGCCACACGGCCGATGGCGAACGTGGAGTCGACGTGCAGCTGGTAAGAGTCGCCGGGCGCGTAGTCCGTCACGGTCAGCTGCTGCCCGTTCTCGCCCGGCAGCATCGCCGCCGCGTCCATCCGCTCGACCGCCGACGTCGTCCGAGGCGTCCAGCGGCTCGGGCCCATGGTGTGCTGCCTAATTAAGAAGACGTCTTGGCTAACGGGGTTGGTCCGGTGCCGATACTCGGGTCATCTCGGGTTCACTCCAGGCGCCGTGATTTACGGCCCTTGGCGTCGTCCTGCCGGCTGCCGTCGGCGTTCATTGTATGCGACTCCTCGAGCCCCGGCTCGAAGGCGGCGAAGATCTCGGCGCACTCGGCCGCCGTCGCGAAGCCGTCCACCACGTAGATGCGCGGAGTGTCTGAGACGGGCACTGGCGGCCTCCAAACAGCGCCAGCGCTGGCGAACGCATCCGTCGCGGCGCTGCCGCTGCCTCCTCTCAGCACAACCGTGCCGTCTGCCCCGACAGCGCTGGCGACAGCGTTTTGTGGCTGCTCCTGGTGCGGCGGCGGCTGAGCAACGTCAGCGAGCAAGCCATGGAAGCCCTCGTCGGTCGCAGCAGATGCCATGGCGCCGACAACAGCGCGGCGGGATGGCTGTGCCGAAGAAAGGGGCAAGAGGAACATGAAGATTGAGGGCGCAGGGCCCGGCAAACGCACCGGCTGCGACACGGGAGCGGCCTAGCGACTCCTGCTCATTCACAGCCTTGTTATTGAGAAGAAAATACCTCCTGCGACTTTGCTTTTTAGCCGCCGAAATTTAGCTCGCTGTTTTTCTTTATAGGCGTCTGCAACTTCCAAGCTGCGTATTCTTGTATTATCGTCGAGTAGTACAGGTACTCCGTGGGGGCAGTGTGTATTCTCGTAACATGCGCGTATTCTCGTATCACTGGCTCCGAGTAGAAAAAGAAAGAAAACATGTGTCCGTGTCCACTAGCTCCGAGTAGAGGGGGCGTTCTGCAGTTAAGGGGAAACCCGGTACACGGAGCCCTCTCGGAGAACTGTGTTTACTTTAAGGCCCTTGCCCTGCGAACGCGCACCCCCGGGGCTAGGGCCACGCGGAATCGACCCTATCCAGTGCTCAAGTGCTCAAGTTCGCAGTTCGCTGAAAACGGTCCGTCGAGCGGGGTGGGGCTCGCTAGCCGCTCGGCGTGAAAGTGCGACCGAACTTCTGCTACACTAAGACACGGAACAACAATGACGACAGCGGACAGGCTCTCCGCACGGACCGAGCACACCAACCCGGAGCACACACAAAGACCCCAAACGGACAGAAACAAGCACATTCGTCCGACACAACCCTGGTCGTCAGCGGGCGAGGCGACGGCAAGCTAGATGCTTACCTCGCCCTGCTGCTCGGTACAAAGTAACAACGCACCGTCCTCAAGATCCAAGGCGTGCGTCACACACACGGACCCCGAGTCTCCGCAAAGAAAGGGTCCACCGCGGATGGATGGAGCGTGAAGTTGCCTTCGTTGAAGAGGAAACGCTCAAAGCGAGATGCTGGACCCCGCCATGGCCTCGTCGATGTGGCCGGTGCGCCCCTGCTTGCAGTAGAAGCAGACCTGCTCCGCCGGGTTCTTCTTCTCCGTTCGTAGGCGTGGTTCGTGGCCAAGGCGTGGTCGCGAAAGGACTGAAAGTGGGATCGAGTGGTAGAAAGAAAAAGTAATGTATCTTTACTTCCAACGAGAGGTGATGGAAAGTTCGACAATCGACTCTATGATGTAACATACTTGACCCCCCCCCTTGGCGCCTCGTGTTTTTCGTGCCAAACCAGCGCGATCTCGGCGGGGCGTCAGCGCCTCTCGGAGGGGCATCATGCGCTCCCGGGGCCGCCCGACGGCGCGGGCCTCTTGCTGATGGACCCAGCCGAGGTGCCCAACCAGTTGGAGTGGCGCTGACGCGCTGCGGCGACCACCAGCCAGCTTTTCAGCGCGGTCGAGGACGGTGCGCCGAAAGAGTAGACAGTCTCCGGTCCATCCGGAATTTTGTCGTTTTAGTTAGCACTGCTGCTGCAGACAGGGCCCGCGTGACCCCATGCCCTTCCCGGATCCAGCTCGCTGAGGTGTGACGTCACCCCGATGACCGCCCATAGGTGGCTGATCGAAGCGCCACTCATCGCCGCGTTCGCGCGACTGGCTCTCAGAGGGCTCCTGCGGCTCTCGCTCGTCGCGTGACCGCCGCCGACATCATGTGCTCGGTCGTCCCCGCCGGCGCGGAGCTGCGCCACGTCGAATTCTTCGGTGGCTCGACCGCCGGCGCGCCCACTATCGCCTCCTGCGCGCCTCACACCCAGTATTCACCTCGCGCGCGACCGCCAAAGTGAGCGCACGACCACCTCCCCCTCGCTCCTGTAGGTGGGCCGCCCCGCGCTGGCGGGAAGAGGCGCGCCGAGCCATCGGTGACGTCCCGGCGAGCTCATGGGCCCCCAAAAGGTCGCACCGACCCGTGGCTCCGCCGTCGGCTCCGCCGCGAGCGGCGACGGTGAGGCCGCCGGGGCTCGCCTATACCGGCTAGTGTGGAGCCCTCAGTGTAGTTGCGTGTTGTACTAGTGATGCTGCACTAGGCGGCCCGTTTTTAGCAAAAACCAGATACCACATCGCGTGTGGTCGTCGAAAAACCGCATGTTCGCCCGTCTGGGACCTCCTTCGTACGGCTCCAAAAACCGCTCCTTAACGACGACTACGCGGCCCGGCGGTCGATCTGCGCCTTCTCAGCGGTGGAGGGGATGTGGGAGGTACGTGCGGACCGCGTGGTGTTGCGACGGTTTGACGAGTGCGACTCCCAGCGTCGACTTTTCGACCCCACGGAGCCTCTGCTGCTCCTGGTGCGGAGTGCATTGCCGTTCTTAACGGAGTCGCTTCGGCGGCTCCGGTGGTGAGCCGGTGTGTGTGCCAGTCCGCGCCAGTCCGCGCCCTTGTCGTGCCAGTGTGCTGTGAGAGAGGCTTGTATTTTAAGAATTCTTTCCGGCCTAGGCGGGGCTGTAGGCGTACGCCGCGGTTGGTGTGTGACCAGAGAAAAAATGCGATTTCCAGGATTCTTTTTTCACAGCAATCACAAAGCAGAGACAGCGCTTGTCGCCGCCAAAGCAACCGCAGCAGCGGTGGCAGCGAGACTTAACGCCGGCAGTGCGGCCTCGCCGCAGCCCAGCCGGCGCTCGCCGCAGCCCTGGCAACGTTCTGACAGTACCCTACCCACAAAAGTGTTCTGACAGCGTTCTGACAGCGTTCTGACAGCGTTCTGACAGCGTTCTGACAGCGTTCTGACAGTGTAGGTAAGGCAAGGTAAGGTAAACTTTTCCACACACACGAGGTGGTGGGGCCGGTTCCTCCCGTCGCCTCTTCTTTCTTCGAATGTTTCTCAATCCATCCTTCAGTGCCGATTTCCTCAATTTTGCCTCAGATTTTGCCCCAGACCAGCTCTTAGACTCAGGGAAACTCGCGAGTTTCCAGAATGGATTTCCAGGATATTTTTTAATATAGATCTTCCCTGGAAATTTCCGGAAACGCAAAGTGCTGGGGACGCTCTGTTTTCCTTTTTGTTTGCCGGAAAAGTATATGCAGGCCAAGGGAACCGACATCATGGCCCCCCGAATGCCGTGCTCTCTAGGTAATTTGCGGGAGCTCTACAAACCAGGTTGAGATCGATGTATCCCCTCACGCACATCTTTCGCTCCATCATGCACTCTTCTGCGTGCAGGCGCGCGGTTTGTTTTTGTCGCGCGGTGAGTGTCTGTGCTGGCGCGTTCTTTCCGGCTGTGAATCCGCATTGCGAGCCGGGGACCACTCTCGTGCACGCTCTATCGTATTCGGGTAGGAGCATTCGCATGAGGCCTTTTAACGACCAGCCGTCCGTCGGCCTATGGTGGGCGGATCTTTCTCGCTTTTCACTCGCCGTTCATACACGCAATCACACGATAGGACGCTCGGGCTCCGTGTTACAGGCGGACTGGACACCAACGCGGTATGGGTGGACGCTGTATGTATGTATGTAGAAACGCTGTGAACGGTTGTGTTTTTTGTGTGAACGGTGACTCGAAGTTCTTTCGAACTCTGCGTACCCGGGTACAACGAGTCTTAAAATGCCAGGAATCCTGCAAAAGGTGCCTCCGCCGCTGCCTCCCGTGCTGCTCAGCTGGGGCATCTGACGC